CCCCCCCCCCCCCCCCAAACTCCAGGTGCTTCCTACGCCCCTGCCTTTCAGATTGAATATATAAAAATATATTAGCATTCGCTTTGTTTATTTTTGTGCAGTATAATAAATTCAGGCTACCACTTAACACAGGCCTTTGTACAGTATAACTCACAACTATGTGAAGATAATAAACGAGACAATGGAAAACAGAATAAGGAAAACAAACGAGATAATGGAAAACAGTGGGATTTTCAATGCAATGAAGAGAAAATGGGAATTTGCCTCCTGACAAATCGGAAGAGATCAAGATATACAGTATAGTGACTCGAGCTGTTTTGTTTTCATTTACCCAACCTTTTGCTCACTTAAAATTTTGTTTACCCAACCCTTTAATTTTCTTTGTCTTTAACTGTATTGCCTGTACGCAATGGCACAAAATGAATAGTTATAAATAAATTTGTACAGCTCTGAAAATATTAATGTGCAGTAGTGACAAAATCGACTTTAAATTCAATCCCCCCCCCCCCTCACGTCCCCGCCCGAACCACCCTGTTGCTATGACAACATTGGAGTGAAAAAGCGCCTCTTCTGCACAGCTAGCCTGTGTGCAGGCCCAAGGGAACTGATAGTGGGCCTGCAAGCAAGGCCCGGTATTTTGTAAAACGCCCCTTTTCATAACACGCCCCATTCGCGCGTCAATTGTCAAAAAAGAACCAATGACAGCACCCAAATATTAACAAACAAACTTGCATTAAAATGTTGCGGGGTTTTCTCTGCTTATTCAGAACACTAATAAACAATGTGTAAATGGCTGCGTTTCAACTCCAAAAAAGCAAGCAACGCAGTCAGTAATTGCCAAATTTGCAAGTGCTCATTTTCAACTAAAATCGGAACAGGCAAATTAGGACGAATTTCAACAGAAAACCAGTCTCAAACTTCAAATCAAGAGGGAAGTCGTGCGACCACATTAGGATTTATATTATGTGTGCTTCGCTGTCGCCATTGGCATTGTTATAAATAAATTGTCTCACTTATCAGATCGTGTGTACAATTCTTGTTGGCGGCGGAAAGTACGAAATTTATTTCATTTATTTCATTTGGTAAAGAACTCTACAAAAGAAGAGAGCGTTCCGAGTCCAGATCGTTTCGTTTCAAACGGCACTTTAATACCGCCTTCTGTTTCGCTCTCTCAGCGAAGCCTTGTAAATCGCAAAGTGTTTCGAATAGGCTTACAGTCCTTACATGCAACTGCATCTCAACATCAACCAAAAGATAATTTTCTTGAGGAAGTGAGAACACATAACGTATCAACTGAAGTCTGTTTGAAATTAATGAAACTCAAGTAAAGGTTACTATAGTTTACCCCAGTCGTAATTTGCTATTCCAACACCTCACGACAAGCAATCCCCATTGGCATAACGGCAAAAACATGTCTTCCTTCAAGTAAACAATAAACAGTCTGTTCTTGTTCCATTTGTAATCGAAAAGTAATCAATTTTCAAATTTTAAGCTTATCGTATGGCGTTCCGTTCCGGTCAAAATTATTTCAAGTCAACAAGTAATAGTCAAACATTATATCAACATGTTATAACTCTCAATACAATGTTGAAAATATCAAGATGAAGTTCAAACTCAAAAAAATAAAACGAAAGTTTAAAGCATATACTTCAAAACTGCAAAATACATTTCAAACCTCAAAGGATATACATGAAAATTAAACGCAAGTCCAAACTTTTATTTATAATACGAAACTCCCAAATGATAAGTCAAAGCCGCGGCTCATAAAAATAAATCGAAAAGTCAAAAATATAAATCGAAAGGAAACGGAAGTAAGCAACTTAATACAGAGGAAGTCAGGAAACGGAAGTTAACCAAGAAGCCAGCGAATGGATTCTTTGTTTTAAAGGGGGGTGAACACGCGCTGAGATATTTACGTATGTCGATATTAAAAAGTTAAAGATTTCGAAACTGACGAATTATTTCTCTCTTTATAAACATTGCTGACCTCGTCTTTTACAGTAACAATTACATTATTATATTATATTATGATTCAACCGAATATCTTGCTCGCCGTCTGGATGTTTACGAGATAAATATTCTTGTACTAATCTATAGCCTGATGATCCTGGGTGATACTTGTGAGATACCACGAACAAGTAGATCAAGATCATTGTCCCTTATCGTAGAATGTGATTGAGTGATTCCCTGTTCGTATATAGCGGAGACAAAGTAAAATTAACGTCGACGTCGTCGTATTGCACTCTCAGATACTCAAAATTTCATGTAATTTCTGCTCAGGAAAGTCCAACTTGGAGAATTAAAGTTTAGATGGCCTGTTGTCAGACGTCCAGTCTTTGTCTTCCCACACCAAAATTCGCATCTTTCGCATGTTTCCCTTTGACGACGAACAATCACTTGAAGGGTGCGCATATCTGACAAAAGTTGTTGCTCTAGAGGATTTTAAGCATTGAGAAAAATATTCGGTTGAATCATAGCGAATGTTATTGTTTTAAAAAAGACGAGCTTAGCAATGTTTGTGGTTAACTTCCGTTTCCTGACTTCCTCTAGTTAAGTTGCTTACTTCCGTTTCCTTTCGATTTATATTTTTGACTTTTCGATTTATTTTTATGAGCCGCGGCTTTGACTTATCATTTGGGAGTTTCGTATTATAAATAAAAGTTTCGACTTGCGTTTAATTTTCATGTATATCCTTAGAGGGTTGAAATGTATTTTGCAGTTTTGAAGTATATGCTTTAAACTTTCGTTTTATTTTTTTGAGTTTGAACTTCATCTTGATATTTTCAACATTATATTGAGAGTTATAACATGTTGATATAATGTTTGACTATTACTTGTTGACTTGAAATAATTTTGACAGGAACGGAACGCCATATGTTATTTTTAGACACAGCATGCAATATGACTGACAAGTGTTGTAGATTTCGCTACACAAAAAAATTATATTCTCACTAACATGTCCGCAGAGTGTGCATTTTGCTAAAACTTTTGCATTTTGCATTCTACTCTAACGGGCTAACATTCTAACAACAGCAACAATAAAATTCTCAATCGTACCACTAAGAAGGCGACGTACCTCAGAAAACAACGCCGGTAGGACCTGATGTTAAAAATAAGACTTTTGCTGGCGAAGCCAGTTGGCAGAACATCTTGGCTGTCAACAACAAGCTTTCGAATACATGACTAGTTTGGCTGTTCTTTCAGCGTCGTGTGTCCAAAATTCGTCAAAGATTTTGATAAAGACCTTTCAAAATACTTTTCTGCCATAAAGCATATTAAAAGAAAAGAAATTCGAAGAAATCGATTTGTTCGTTTGACCTTTATATTATTATTGTCCCCTTGAGCCCTTGACCGAGCTATTTTTAAAACTGTTGTTTATGTGAACTTGCAACCAACCAAAATCTTAGGGCCTGAACTTCAGGTTAAATCTACAGGCACGATGATTTATATTTGAAGTATTCAAGCGCCAACAGCGGTATATATTTATTATGTAGTTTTCTTTGTTTTTCTTCATTTTAAATACTACTACTGTATTTCTGGACCGCTCGGCCCCTCCAGGTAATGAAAATTTATACTAATACGTGCAAATAAATGCCAGAACCCGCCCGCCTCGCAAAATGAACCAATTTCATTGCTCGACTCATATACAAGTGATCTATGGTCACAACCGCTAATTACAGACGTCTGGTATTTCTATAATTATATTGGAACGAAACATTATTTCTTTTTTAAAGAAATATTTTCTTGTTGCTAATGATAAGGCTTTATTTCTTAGGCTTGGCAGTTCTGTTAATCACTTTGAGCACGTTATTAAACAGAAAACACACATTTTTACCAACTATTTTTAATAATTCAAACCTTTCAGATTTTACCAAAATTTTACCAAAAGAAACTCATTACCAAATTTTCTTGAAAATTCACGAAATCTGAAGTTCAGGCCCTAATTTGAAATAGAGCCTGACACAAAACCTGTCTAGACCGTGGAACGCCCACATGTTATTTTTAGACACACATGCAATATGATTGACAAGTGTTGTAGAGTTTTGTCACACAAAAAAATTATATTCTCATGAACATGTCCGCAGAGTGTGCATTTTGCTTTTTAATTTAACTTAAAAATTCAAGGTACTTTTATATAATTAAGAGTCAGTTTCTCTATTTAACCGAACAGCAAACAAAGATTTAATTAGTCAGTTCTGTGCACGGCTTGACTGCCAAGCTTTCTCAAGGTCTCAACTTGCTGGCCGCGGATATACTCTAACGACTAACGGGCTATCAACAGCAACAATGAAATTCTCAATCGTACCACGAAGAAGGCGATGTAGCTCAGAAAACAACGCCGGTGGGACCTGATATTAAAAATAAGACTTTTGCCGGCGAAGCCAGTTGGCAGAACATCTTGACTGTCAACAACAAGCTTTCGAATACATGACTAGTTTAGCCTGCGAACAGGCTCTCTTTGAACTCTCCTTGAAATTTGAGAGAGAGCCTGCAGGCCAAGCTAATAAAAACGCGTCTGTGCGTTGCTTAGAACGACGCAGGGTTCCCATTGGTTGAAATTGAATTAACTACATTATACTGCCATAAAAGGTAATTAAATTTACACAACAATAGATTCAAATAAAAAATATCGTTCTATAGCGACGAGTTGTATAGAAAACTAAATCTTTGTTTAAAGTTACAGTAAAGGATGGACAGTCAAAAGTTCTTAACAAAATTCTAGACGGAAACGATGTTTTTGCTGCGTATATTTAAAGAGAGTTTTGGAAAATACAACGGCAACGTTCTTATATCAACAATAGCATCTTTACTCGGCATGTTGTAAAAGACGGACTGGACTGGACTGGACCGAACTGGACTGGACTGGACCGGGAAAACGCGGACTGAGTCCGTGTTTTACAAATCGCGGACTGAATTTGTAAAACACGGACTGGACTGGACTGGGCCGGGAAAACACGGACTGAGTCCGTGTTTTACAAATCGCGAACTAAGATTTGTAAAACGCGGACTGAGTCCGTGTTTTACAAATCACGGGCTGCGATTTGTAAAAGGCGGACTCATTTACTGAATGCACTAAGGACGAACGGTCGCAGTAAAGTATTGTCTATTCTCATGCATGACAAAGTTCAATGTTTTTACCGAGAAACTTCAATGTTTTTGATGATCATTTATGATCATTTGGTGATTTCAAAGCTTGGATCTGGTTGTTCAACAGATTAACATCAGATCAGAACCTGTCAATTGCTCTTGACAAATCACGATGGCCGGTTGCTATGCAGTTTGCTCCCGGTTATGGCTAAAGGGGATGGACGAGAGGTAGGTGACCGTGAGAGGTCTGGGTCTAGTTGCGTGTTTATCTCGTGTTCGTGGTACACGCGAGAACAACTCACTTAGTGAAAAATTTCCAAACATTCGCACAACTGAATGTTGATATAAAGATATTTTATATGGTTTTTCCTCCAGTTTCTCTGTAAATTGCAACGGTAATCAATGTTTAATACGCAAAAGGTATGTATCTTGCGGTACAGAATCTGAAATATTATATTCTCTGCGAACAGCTGCCGAACTGTGTACATTTTTACGATTAAAATGTCAACAACATCAACTTAAATAATCCAGTCAAACATGTAGTATTGTATCCGATAAATAGTACAAATGGCTGGTGACTTCAATTATTCAAATTAGCTTCAAATATATCATAGTGCTTAACTAAAATCCTGTATCATAAGGCCAAGCTCAAATGCTCATGCAAATCTTTGAAAAGTGTTCTGAAACGATAAACAGCATTTCCCCCCCTCACGATTTACGCTAAATTTTCATTGTACTATCTTATTCATGGCAGCCTAGGAGTGCAAAATATTTAATGCATCTTCACATTAGTAAGCAAACCATATTCGAGCTAGCACAGGGGGAAAAATTGATTAGAAACCCTAACTATGGGCCCTCTTGACTAGATACCTTAACTATGTCACTGTGATACACCTACTTTATTATTTTACTCATGCCAGATGATTTTACTCGTCAAGGGGAAAATGCTGCCACTCAATGGCCCGGGTTAATGTTGTGCGGCATATTGTTTTCAAATTTTTGTACAAAGTTCAGATTCTGTACTTATATCAAGGTATATATATTTGCCAAAGCATTGCTCATAACTGTACTGAATAAATTATCTTTAAATCAATATTCTGTATCGAGATCTTTAGAGGATTTGGTATGGAGCAGCATGGCTGGTGTATAATATGAAGATCTCATCAATCAAAATATGATTTTCCAAAGCGTGTGATACAATACAGAGCCATACTATTCTTCTATAATTCCAGACATCATCTCTAGTACTTTCTTGGGGATTGATTCTTCTGTTGTCTTGGTGTTATTAAATTCTGCATGAGTGTGCTGCCTGATCTTATTAGCCATTATGGTTATTACAGGTAGCAGGTACTCTTCTTAAATATTTTTTTCTGATATATAATTCAAAATGTAAATATTTATTTTGAGTAAAAATAAATCTTTGTTGTTGTTGTTGTTGTTGTTGTTGTTGTTGTTGTTGTTGTTGTTGTTGTTGTTGTTGTTGTTGTTGTTGTTGTTGTTGTTGTTGTTGTTGTTGTTGTTGTTGTTGTTGTTGTTGTTGTTGTTGTTGTTGTTGTTGTTGTTGTTGTTGTTGTTGTTGTTGTTGTTGTTGTTGTTGTTGTTGTTGTTGTTGTTGTTGTTGTTGTTGTTGTTGTTGTTGTTGTTGTTGTTGTTGTTGTTGTTGTTGTTGTTGTTGTTGTTGTTGTTGTTGTTGTTGTTGTTATTGTTGTTGTTATTGTTGTTGTTGTTATTGTTGTTGTTATTATTGTTGTTGTTATTATTGTTGTTGTTATTATTGTTGT